CCACTACGTCGTGGCTCGACCATTGTATCTGTTCGGAGACACTGCACAACAGTATCTCCGAAATGTGCATTCTGTACGATTATGTCTCGTCTGATCATTTCCCATTGTTTGTTTCCTTTGATTGGTCATCGGCGCCTGTGTTTGTAAACACAGGCGTTGATGACCAGGTGCCGACGACTGGAATTCCTCTTCCAAACAGAATCAGCTGGGAGCGTGCATCCCCTTGTGACTTGGCGAGATACCACACCAGTGCCGATGCGTATTTAGCTAAATGTAAAGTACCAATTGCTGCTCTCTCATGCCAAGATCCAAATTTCAACAACATAGACCACACAACTTCTCTTGACAAATTTGCTCTTGACATAGTTACTGCTCTGAAAAACGCAGCTGCTAGTTCTTTCCCAAGAAGGGTTCGCACTAACTCCCATGCAGTCCCGGGCTGGAATTCCGTCGTCAGAGAATACCATACTGCAGCTCGAGACGCCTTCCTTCTCTGGCGAGAATGTAACTGTCATAGACATGGGCCACTGACCCTGTTATTGGAGGATGAACTTACGGGGTCAATTTGATTTAGTTTGATAGTGGTTGTGAACACATCTTGCTAGGGTTGCAAACAAAGACTGATAAAGCCATCCTAGCTTAGGAGGTTAAAAGAATATATCTGATTTTAACCTCCTTTGTACAAACAAAAAGGCTATCTCCTTGTAACAAACTTTGATTGTACCTTTTTTTATAAACAAAAATATAAATCTCACCTGATAGTTCTCTGTCTTGAATGTTTAGCGGAAATGCCGCTAACTCATTGTGCTGTATTTTCCCAAATAAGGAACGCAAAACAGCCCGTACAGTGCAGAATCCTACATATATATACATGTATTATATGTACATGTATGCAATATATAGCCGAGATACCTCTCTTAAGATGTTTGCAGTGGATTTAGCTCCCGTTGTGCGAGGGCCGATATCATGCGATGTGTAACATTTGCTAAAAGTTACGCCATTCCACTGGAGCGTTACGTTGTAACTTTAGTTTAAAAACGAACAAGTTACTAGTACCAAGGGCATTATAATGTACTTGCTAGTACTGTGTGTTCTTTATTTATATTTAGCGAGGGCTGACTGAGGGGGGCTGTGGCATGATTTCCTTGGGGACATGTTGGCCCAGGAGCCGATGAGCTGGCTTGTGTAGGCCCTGGAAAGAATCTGGCACCCAGGCTAACTGAGGGGGGCTGTGACATAATTTCCTTGGGGGACATGTTGGCCCAGGAGCTGAGGAGCTGGCTTGTGCAGGCCATGGAAAGAATCTGGCACCCAGGCTAGTTACAAAAAAAGGCCTTTCCCATAATACTTTAACAATTGCAGGATGTACATGTAATTTTACCACAACAGACCTGTTAATTCAGAATGACTTCTTTAAGAATTAAATCTTACCTCAGCATTCATCGATGACACCAAAAACCACGGACGACATAGTGGTTAGAAGACAATCCAGAGAAGTAAGTGACTTGCTAAAAACCTGCAGCTTTTATATGCTGTAGCTTGCTTGTGAGCATTAACATACACCAATCAGATAGCGTCTGATATTCAAAACAGACCTTGAATATGCAAACAAACACGTGATCTTCACGTGAGAACAAAATGAGGGGGATTGGAGGACAAAGGTCACCAACATATGCTTGCTGTCAAGTCCCGTTTTCTGGTCTCATAGTACCAAGCCAAAAAGTAGTCTCAGAGTACCAAGCTAAACGGCTGTATGAAAGTGTGTTTTAATAGGTGAGAAATTTCTATTCAGATAACTCAACGGATCTAAAACGTCAAAGCCGCGTGCGAGGGCGGACGTGGACAGTCTAGTGTTTTGAGTATTGCGGTCTTTGGTTTGCAGCGCGATAGGGCCTGTTCGGCTAGGCGCTAAGTGTATATTGTAATTACCATAAAATGGATTGTGTGCATAGAAGTCTGTAGATGCCAGTGAAACTGTTATTTGTATTTGCCGCCTTTAGTTAATTTATTATAATAAGGTAGCCTAGTTCCCGTCAAACCTACCCCCCTTGAACACCAGAGAGGAAAACCCGTCCAGACAATAGGCTCCAGATGGAGAAAATACAGGACTAAGACAGAAGGATAACAAGGCTTCTCTGGCTAGAGGAGAAGAATCAGGCTTCCAAGGAGGAAGAAATCAGGCTTCCAAGGAGGAAGAAATCGGGCTTCCAAGGCGGAAGAAAATAGGCTTCCTAAGACGAAAGAATCAGGATTCTCAAGAGGAGAAGTTGAAGAAGTTTCAGGCCAGAAGGAGATAGGAGCATACCAGCTTTTACGGCACTACCTAGGCACCATCTTGGACACTATCTTGGGATTTCACTCTGGAGACTACTTTGGACACTACCTGTACTACCCGCATCATCTTAGACATCTATCTTGAGCTCTATTCGGGACACTGGACGGAAAACCGAATTTCCACAAGTTTCCAAGCTGGGACACGTTGGTGAAACCTGACATGTCCTAGCCGTGTACATAAGTTTCCACGGGTGTCCCATCCCGGCGTGTCCCATGTAGGAAACCCGTGCACACCATGGGACACGCGAAGTGTACAGGATTTCCCACTGTTGGAAACGTCTCGTGTCCTGACTAATTATCGTCACAATGGAGTATCCAACCTAAGAAAATAGGCATGGCAATCTATAAGCAGTTTTGTTGTGTTTGTTTACACATATTGCCATGGGACTTTGTGAGTCTGGCTTTACAGAACAGACTATTTTGCGTCCGCACCAGGCTATATAGATTGACCGCCGCTAAAGAATCTAGCAGGATATGCAAAGCTTGGTATGAACGCCGGGGTCTAATTATGAGTTTCCTGAAGCTTATACTACATGTAGTACATGTCGTTAACGTTTTCTGTACATGGCTCTACAGCGCATGGATGTATAATAAAAATGATTATCACTCCGCTTTAGTAAATTTTCTGGTAGAAATGGCGTGAACCCCTGATACATTTCGGCGTATACTATCGGTAAATCAAGAAAGCACTCCGACGGACGCCGATAGAGTGATAATTTGCAACACGTTGTTGTAAACGAAAAGAAATAGCTGAAGATAATAAACTAAAGACTTGCTCACGCGCGATCGTCTGTAGCGCGTTTTGTTTTGGGTGCCAAATTAGAAACTTAGCCTAGAAGTGCAGGGGACGTGCAATTTTGAAATTTCTACTGCAAAAATTGTGTTTATTAGTGGAAGTCTTAAGTGATCATGTTAGTTTTTTTTTGGTTTAACTAAGAGATATTGTAATGCTTCGCAGTATTTTTCCGATGCATCTGTTTCCAAACTTACTTGAATATTACCATATCGACTATAACCCTTGCTAACTAACAATGTACAGATTTCTTTGTCTGGTAGCTCGGCTTTCTGCATAAATTAACGCCTTATTACGTCGACGCCATATTGGATCTACTGTATATAATAGGCAAAAAAACACAATTACTGGTCAGAATTTTCCCAAACTAGGCTATTGGATACTAGTAACCTCGACCTTGATATATTTCACTAGGAAACATATCCGTTTTCGTTGGTGATGAGGGACACCCCCTTGGCGTTGTTCAAATATTTGCCCACTGTTGTGTAAAAATGATTTTTTGAAAGAGACAAAGATGCTAGGTTTACCTGTACGTTGTTGTTAGATGTGTATTGTGGTGAAATGGTCAGACGAGATGGCGTCTATGTTTAAAATATCCCTGTTTACCATATTTGGTTTTTGTAAAGGAGCCTTAGTTTAACTTCCTTGTTTTCATTTCATTTTCTTGAGCAAGAAGTTGTAAACATTACATAGGTAAACTGCTATGTATTATGTGTTACGCATATGCAGACGGCGCATTTTGGCGTAAGATTAGCCAATAGAGTTTATTGTCGTTTAAGCTTATAGCGTGAATCTTTTTCACAATAGACAACTGGGACATTTCACAGCCCTTTGTGTCAGTCGTTATTCTTGCAGTGATCTGTAAACCCTAACAGCCAATCGCATGCATTTCTTCTTGTATGTGGTTTGAAAAGGGGGCCAATCAACGCTCGCGCTCTACTTTTGAAATCTGTCAGTTAGCACACCGTGTTACAGGTTCCTCTTAAATCTCCAAGAACAGTTGGACACACACCAAAGTCAAGGTTCCACAGCCTTTATTTTCCACACCCTTGCACCAGGGCTCCCTTCTCAGAATGCCCCCCTATGCTCCCCTGGAGCGTTCCATTGGGGATATGGGGGTGTTCCAAACTAACTTCCCTACGATACATAACACCTCCCCCTAGGAAGATATCGTACCTGTTATCTTCTAACACATCATGGTTGAAGTACATGTATCGTCTTATCCCATCACAACATTGTCAACAAGTATTCTGATCATTTAACAATCATTTGTCGCCTTGCTAACAAGGGGTTCCAACTAGCTTAGTTTCCTACTCACATTAGTACAGATATGAATACCCGCTATAAACTACACACCGGGTTGTGTAACGTGCATTCTACAGTTCTTTTGGACACAAACAACACGCTAGGACTTAGTGAGAGACTGGGAAATTTGTCTACATCAACACCGAGGAATATCGACATGGCGTCATTCTACGTTTACTTGTAGCAATTTCCTAGCGTCTACCAGGCTCCGGGAAGCGGCTGGAACCGAAGCGGCAAACTGTTTTCTCCAGCAGCACCAACTACCTTGGCATGCTATCTCTCCATCGGGCCGATTTCTACTCTTTCCAGCCGCTTCTCGAAGCCTGGTAGAGACTAGCTGTTTCCAGGACAAGAACGCCGCGGGGCATTGGCAATACGTACTGGGACAAGACTTCTCTCCAGACAGAGGTTGATTGGGAAGATTGTGAACTTCAGTCTATGTCCCGTTTTTTAAAGCCGGTAGCCTACCCTAGGGAGACTAGGCAAGACGAGCTGAGGAATGATTCCAACGACTGGAGACTCATATCTGCTCCCGAGACTATCCCAAGTCACCTTGCGCGAGGTTGGGTAGAGATACCACACGCACGCCTTACCCCTTCATTCGGGTTTCGCATTCCCTACTGTACGGACCTCACCATGTCGCCTCCAACACTCCGCACGGACGCTTCCCTCGTCGGGCACCGACTCACCCCGGTTCTCCGGCGGTGCAAGGGCGACGAAGCTCTTCCATCGGAAGAACACCGGGCGAGATTCGAGCCCGGCACGGCGCTGGCGGCCTACAGCCGGGATGATCTGGAGACGCGGGTGAAAGAACTCACCGCATCAGACCCGGAGGAGCTCCTCGACCTGGCGGGCCTAAACCCGAAGGAACAGTCATCGCTCGTCCGTTTAGCTCATTTTCTGATCCTCGCAGCGAACGAGACGATGGCAGCGCAGCCGGTAGACCAAACGAAGACCGGCAGGATAGCAGCCCAAGCCGCCGTGGGCCTCCTACACGAGAAGCCAGACGCGGAGTCTGGGAGCAACACGAAGAAGCGCCCCACACCGCCGGCTAACGACACCCCGACACCCACTAAGAAAGCAAAAGCCGCCCGACCCTCGGCCGCCGCAGCCACCACGGACTCTTCGGACGCCGAGAGCGGCGAGGAATTGGAGGTTGGTATATTTTCCCCCCATTTACGTAGGATTCTCCTACAGTCAAGAGCGGTTTTTGCGTTTTCCGATTTGCTTTTTCTGCTTTGTGTTTTCCCCGTGAACCATTGACCTTGAAATTTGCCAATTTTTGCTCGGGCCGGGCGTATCTTTGGGTCCCTGCGAGCCGGCATTATGTTTGATGTTTGAAATTGTTGAAATTTGCCGTTTTTTTGCTCGGGCCGGACGGATTTTGATTCCCGCGAGCTGGCATTATCTTTGAAGTTATATTTGAAGTTTGCCATTTTTGCTCGGGCCGGACGGATTTTGATTCCCGCGAGCTGACATTATGTTTGAAGTTGTTGTGTTTGTAATTTGCCATTTTGCTCGGGCCGGATGAAGCTTTGATTCCCGCGAGCTAGCACTTTGACGATTGTGTTTGAAATTGTTGAAATTTGCCGTTTTTTGCTCGGGCCGGATGGATTTTGATTCCCGCGAGCTGGCATTATGTTTGATATTCTGTTGTTGAAATTTGCCATTTTTGCTCAGGCCGGATGGATTTTGATTCCCGCGAGCTAATATTCTGTCGCTAAAATTCCCAATTTTGCTCGGGCCGGGCGGACTTTGGGGTTCCCGCGAGCTGGTGTTTCTGTTGAAGTCGTTGAAATTGTCAACTTTACCCGTGCCGAACGGTTTTAGGTTCCCGTAAGCCGATATTTGGTTGCACGTCAACTTTTTTCAGGCCGAACGATTTTGGGTTCCCGCGGACCAACATGTGTTTGAAGTCTTGAAAATTTGGTTTAATTTGCTACAACCAGACGATCTTGGTTCTCGCGAGCCGGCAGCTCGTTGAAGTCGCTTTCGCCGAAATTTGGGATTTCTTGACACAAATTTGAAAGCTTTGTGCCGCGGGTACCGGCTTTCATGCACGTGTTAAAAGGAATATTCATTTTACCACGAGGAATATAGGCCCACGCCGGAATGTTTCTTGTCCACATTTCGCACAGAGGTGACTACTCTATATGCAAAAAGAATTTCTTTGTTATTGTGACAGCCGAAAGGCTCCGAATATTTCATGACACCACGCAGGTAGTGTTGTCCTCTTGCGAAAAGAAATGCCGCTGTTTCATCTCCCGCCGATGGGCATTTCACAGGTACCAGTCATATCTAAGACAAAGCCCCCATACTAAGAAGGGGAGACAGTAGTCTGGCATAGTCTGGCAATTGACTTTGAGGCACCGCCTTTTGACAAAGAAGGGAGAAACTCACTACTTAGTGCGACTTGCACGAGTCCCTGTTTACCAGCGGGGAGCCACTCAGTCGCAAGAAGCTCAAACAAATTATCTTGTCAAATGCATATTTCCAAATTACAGTTTTTGACATCTAAGCCCCGGGCTTATTTAAAAAAAAAAAAAAAAAAAAAAGAAAAAAGGACTAGTTTCCCTTCGTCTCTCGCCGATTTGTATCGACTTCTGAATACAGTCGGAAAGGGACGAACATACCAAATTCCCTCGCACACCTCCTATTTGGCTTCTCCAAATTTCGGATCATTTCCATGGAAGACTTTCGCCTGAAACGCGATCTGGAGTTTTCTTCATGAAGGCAGCAGGAGTAAGATCGCCCCTTTTCATTTGGAAAGGGCTCATATACGAGCACATATTAAGTGGGTAATCCGATAGAATCGGTTACGAGCGGTAGCAAGATGATGAGAACAATGCCTAATGCGGATTTTCTCTCGATGTTTTATAGGATGAAGGAGCTCAGGCCATGCAGGGTGCACTTAGAAAACTCAAGCGCATCTGTAGGGAACCAACCATTCACGCAGAGCCGGAGCGACTGGAGCGGGCCTTGCAGAAGGTCATTGACACGGCCTCGAGCGCGAAGGCAAAAGAGTACTACGAGGGAGTTCGGGGGTTCTTCCTCAAAAACACAACAAGCTTCGGCATCGGGCGAGAAGTGCTGAAGTTCGTGATGACGAAGCAGGAACGCCGCTTCGCCGAAGAAGCGGAGAGGGCCACCGCGGCGCTCAGGGGAGGCAACAGGAATGCCTTCTACTCACACGGGAGATCACGAGCACCGGCAGCCATCTGGGGCCCGAAGGCCGGCCCCTCTCATCCCCCCTCCCGCACGTGGGGACCCAGGCGCCGCCCAGACGCGAGGGGATGGAACCACCCCAGGTCTCACTCGGCGGGCAAGCGGAGCGGAGACGCCCAGAGAACCGAGGAGTGTTTCAACTGCAACGAGCGGGGCCACTGGCAGCGAGACTGCCCTCACCCAAAGCGCAA